GTATTTCATGTTGCAATTCTAGAAAAAAATATAGTTGCTTGTTAGTTAAAAGTTTTAATTAAAAAGTTGTAGAGTAAATTTTTCTCCGACTAAGTTAATTGACTTACAGGCTTCTTGGTTTTGGTTCTGCGACTAATTGTGTTTATTGTTATTGTATCAAAGTTTTTATATTAAATGTTATCTTATTAATTACTTACTGTCTTATCTATGTCTACATACTATTAAGTATACTATAAATTACTTTCGATGATTAAAAAATTAATTTATGATATTCGCGGAGACTTTAATCCGTGCAGGTCAATAACGAGTGTCGTCTACTTCCTTGTTGAAAGGCTTTTGTGAAATTAATATATTGACAAATATTAACTAACTAAATTGTTTATTTATGTGGAAAAAGTTACTTAATTTAAACAAAGTGGCATATTGCAACTGTGGAGTTAACCAGGTATTTCAGGATCTTCTTCTTCTTCTTCTTAAAGTGCCATCTTCTTCCGAAGTTCGGCGATCATTAGGGCTACTTCAGTATCTTCAGTATTCTTTAATTTGCTACTCGGTATTTAAACTTATTGTTTTGAGATTGTTTCAAGTGTCTTGGGATGAAAATAACAAGAGAGACAACTTTTCTTGCCGTTTTCTTTCCCATTCCTTTATGAAGTTACGATAATTTAATCAAACAATCAAGTTTTTAGATTTTCCTTCAAACGACAAAACGCTTATTCAATTCACTTAATTTAAACATTAACAACAATGATCGCTAGTTGGTCGAAACCATAAACAAATAATTTCATTTTTGAGTAATCGATTTCAATCATTCGCATAATCTTACTAATATTATAAATGCGAAATCTTAGATGGATGGATGTTTGCTAGCGTTTGTAGCCTAAACGGCTTAACAGATCTCCTTGAAATTTGGCACAGGTTTAGAGCATAGTCTGGAAGAACACATAGGCTACTTTTTATCCAGGGAATAGTTACGGTTCCCGTGGGATTCATTAATTTAGTTTTAAGTTTACTATTTTAAACATTTAGTTTACTCGATCATTCTGCAACGGTTCAACATATCTTATTAAAATTTGGCACAGATAAAACAAAGTCTGGAGTACACATGGGACAAGGTTCATCCTCGAGAAATGTCCGGTTCCCGAGGGATACGTAGCTTTTTGTTATTTATATAGTTCGTATGTTTTCTAATACCACGCGAATGAAGTTCCGGGCAACAGCTAGTTTCTATATAAAGAAGTAGTAAGGTTCCGAAAAAAATTAATAGAAAAGTCATTAAATCTGTTAGTACAAAAGCACTAGGACATCCTACGTAGTCGAAGTAGGTACTCAGTTGGTACTTTTTAAAATCAAGCGCAACGAAATCAATCGTTACTCAGCTTACAGCTGATCACAGATAACATATTAATTTAGGAGCCATATTGTAAAAAACACAGTAAAGATTAAATATACAATAAAGTAATAAAAAAATTAACACTAGCCTCTCCCGCGACTGCTGCGATAATTAAAGGATTTTTTTCTTTCTAATAACTTGAAGCTTAACCTAAGCTAAACTTTACTGTCATTAAAATTATTTCAAAGCCCTTTAATTTTAGTACTGTTAGTATACTGCTAACATAAAAAAAGGTTTTTACTTAATAGTAACGTATCATAGATATTATTTTTTTACTTTTACCTATACACGTATATTTTATTGGCAGCTAATTGATGAAATGTCATGTTTCACAAAGTTTAATTTATCTCTGATAAGGTGTTTAGGGAATAAGGCTTGAAGACGTGACTAACAGACTGAAGTTACCGTTCATAATTTAGCATAGATTGTAAATTTATGAGGGTCGTAAAATGATAAAATCCGTCGCATGGACTATAATTCAAATATGATAAATTTGATAAAATTACCCGTAGGTATTTCAATATCTTGATACGTGTTTCTATCAAATTTATCATTTGTAAATTTTATATAAATATGTTATTTCAGTCGTAACTGGCACAATTAATTCAACACGAGACGTAAGTGAAATAAAAACCTTCACTCTAGTTTGTATCGTCTGCGTTGTTTAAAATAATAACGACATCATTAGTTAACTATTTTATTTTATTTGAATATCCTCTAAATTTACTTATAACCACTTTCAACAACTTAGGTGAAATGATAATTACCACCTGAAAGTGAAAATAAAACAAACTAGATTGTTGTTTGATTTAAGATACAGAAAAAAAAGTAGCTGAATTACTAAAATCTAATTATCATAATCTTTCAGATTCAACATGAAATTCTTCGTCGCCTTCGCACTCCTCGTCGCCGCGGCTTCGGCCAGCA